TCCAAAATCGACGCCCTTTTGCTGCGAAAATTGTTTGCATCCAACAGTAATTTCGGTTTGTCGGAATTCTGAACTGTTAAAACTTTACTGCAAGTATATAAAAGTGTAAAATATTTGCTTTATGGTCAAATGCTATTATTTCTGTTCAGGTTTTGAGGTTTGATTTGCGTGGTATGAACATAGCTAAATTTTATTTCAGGTTATCAAGCTTCATATGCCATAAGTTATGTGGAGCTTAAGCGTGACACTACAAAGTACACAGTGTGTTACCCCAATACATTTTACTTATGCAGCTGTTTTGTCGTTTTAACATGAATAAGATATGTGATGGAAAAATACAAATGTTTGGCAAGTAGAGACAGTAAAAATAGCACTATTTTGTATTAGTTTACATTGAATTTTTGTTGAGATCAACTTTGGGAATTTCCCAAATATATTACACCTTAGACCACCTCTATAAATCCATTGATAATACTCAAGATTTGATTTTCGAGATTTGTTTAGTGTTTTCATAGTTGTGATTGCACGTTGTGGTATATATGTGTACAGCGTTTATCAAGGGCGTCGCCAGCCAATGGCCCAAGGGGGGGGGCGGGGGGCAAGTTCATACGATGAATGAGAATTGTATAAATTGTAGGTAAAGTCAATAGCACTTCAAATTTTACACTTGTTGTATGGTGATTGTGATAAGAACAGTATAAAGCCCAATTTGGAATCTCCACGAGCTTTTGGCTATACGGTAAATGCAACTTAAATTAAATTATATTATTATATTTATTATTACTTAGAGTTCGAATACTAGGAAATGAAATGGTGAATTCGTTACAGTTTAGACCTGCGGGATGATCGATCAAGCACGTTAAGTGAGTTTTCTTACACGTCTTATTGATTTGCATTTCACTACATTTTTCAAGGTCTCTAGGAGGGGGGCGGGCAACTCCCCCCCTGCTCCGCTTGGCGACGCCCTTGGCGCTTATATTACGAATGATTTATTTTTTATTAAAGAAAACGAACAAAACTAACTACTGTTTATGCACAACGGCAAATCTTGTAGTGATGTTTATTTTACTTGGCACGGCGTGACGTCATAGTAGACGCATTGACAATTTGGAGCGTCTTTAAGGTGTAATATTCAAACTGATTTTTGAAAAGTCAAGATACATAATGTAAAAGTTAGATTTTTTGAGAAAAACCTTTTTTCGGATTCTATTTAGGTATTAAGCAATTTTTCAAATTTCCTAATTCAGACTATTAGAATTACATGATAACGGAAAAAGATGCATGTGAAATGCCATCAGATGCTGTTTTAGCGGCCCAAAGTACGTACGACAGAGGTAGTTTGAACCACATTTAGAGCATTTTAATTGTATTTACCATGTTCCAAAATTGCAAGAATGGGTCAATCGGGAACGTGAACCCAACCATTCTTATAGTCCGTTTTTTAGGTCGCTGAAACCGAATCCGGGGCACATTCGGTCCGAAAATGCCTCGTTTTCAAGATAATGGCAGGAATTATACTTTGTCTCAAGTCGCAAAACCAACAAATTTTAGCAATCAGTAGCTATGAAATGTTGAAAACAAAATACTGTCAAAGTATGAGATGACATCTTGTCATTGAAACATCATCAGCTTATTGAATATTAAGAAATTACATATAATTCAGTCAAAATTTAAACAAATGTTTTTGAATAAAATTCATGATTTAATTACTATTGTTGATTTTTTATTCATGTCTATATTATTTTCTTCAATTGATATGCGATTTTACTGATTCAACTGGGTGTTTTTTCCTATAAACCTCTTGCAGATAGCCATTAAGCACCTACTTGATGACTGGCTCTACCAAAAAGTTCATAGATATTGCTCGTTTCCAAACATTCATTCATTTACTTGCCGTTCATCAGAACCATTATGGCACCTTAGATTGATATTCCCACAAAACCATTCTGGTTTTTTAATATCCATACGTCCATAAAGTTGAATACTTTTCGTTGTTCAGGAACTTAACAAACATCCACACTATATTCAAAGTAGGTAATCATTTCGTGCTCGGATTGGTACTCGTTACTTCGGGTATCTATGAGTAACGAATAAGATTACTTTTTCAACACCACTACCCAGTGGAGCAAACTCTGCCAACTGTCTAAATAAACTTTATTAATTCAAAGTCTTATTTTTCTTATTGTTATTACTGTGCCTGCTTAGATATTCAAATACGGCCAGGAATTATTAGCGCCAGGCTAGTTTAGGCCTTCAATAACTCCTTATTTTAGATCTCTCCTTATTTTGTTTTTTCCACGCATTCATGGTAGAGAGAAAAATATTTTATCGTATACCGTGCAGCAGGCACACCCATCACTACTTTGACAGATTGCAGAATGATGTCAAGGTGACAATCGGTATGTGGCAGTTGTTTTTGTTTTTGTCTGAAATAGGCAAGTAGGCTTAGTGTATTCATTTTTGTTTTTATAGCGTTTCCAGAATTTCATATTGCGAAACAATGTCAAGGGCCGACAGGGGAAAATCTGTCTCTATCGTCGCTATCCCTATATTGTATCCCCACCAGACACCAGTCAAAAACCTTAACCACCAATATTTTATAACTATTTATAATTCTTTTTAGCTCTTATTTTTCAGTAATTACTAATAATTTTAGGTCTATGTCTACAGTAATTCCATCATGCACCTCGGAGATGTAGGGATTAACATGTTTTATTACATATCGGTGTTTTAGGATGGGGACGACCATACTGTTTTGATTGCTTTCAAAAAATTCATTAACCCATGAATTTATAACAAATGATTACTATTATGATATAAAGAGAGATGAGAAATTGGTTGGAATACATTTTATATTCTATTTTCTTGCAAATCCGCACAATTCAACAGGTATGTGTAGCTATAATGATCATATATACACACAGTATATTGAACTTACCAAATTTTGAGATTGCCATGAATTAACAAATGACCAAACCTGCTGCCAAATTTAACAGCTATAAAGTCGACCTATTAGTTATCCCATTCCCATTCGCTGAGGGGATAACGGATGGTCAAATGTACACCTATAACATAAATCAAAATACATGAAAGTTGTCCTGTTTTCTCTGTACAAAAGCATCATGTTGGAATGAAAAAGTGGTCTTGTTTATAATACAGTCGAATTTTCTCCACAAACTTTTAATTCTCGTATACCGTTTCGTTTTTTCCATCTATGCAGCCAACCATCACTGGCTGTAAAGTTATCAGGCGCCTCAATAGCTTTCAATTCTTCACTTAAGTTGACTGCCTTTTGCTTTAGAATTGGTCCGGAAATTGGTATTCCACGTTCTCGATTCTGTGTAAACCACAGATATAAAGCTTCATTCGCTTTTTGATAATCCCCCTGTTTCATAGCTTTCCGTGACGGCTGCGATGATGTCAGAACACTAGACCACTTTTCAATCTTCTCGCGTTGTTTTTTCCATTCGGAAATGGTACTCACGCCCACACCCAAATCATTTGCTTCGTTTTTAAGCAGTTCACCTCTATCTAAACGTCTGATTGCCACAAGTTTCTGTTCTATGGTAGGAACAATGCGTTTACGTTTATTTCTATGCCACTCCATCTTAACGATTATGAACCTGACTGAAACAAACATACACGCACACATACCAGTGAATTCCGCAAACGCGCTTGGGGAATCACCGGCAGCGAATCTGATGACGCATACGCCGAAAGGGGAACTACCGGCGGATATTTCGGATCATGCGCCGATTTCCCGAACAACTTCGGTTAAAACGGAGAAATTATTGTATGCGGTCTGTTTCGAATAATCACGATTCGGATAGTCGAGGTTCTACTGTACTCGTATATGCAAAATTGCAAAAATGGGTCAGTCGGGAACGTGAGTCCAACCATTCTCATAATCCGTTTTTAGGGTGGCTGAAACTAAATCAAGGTATTCAGTCCGAAAACGCCTCGTTTTCGAGATACTGATAAGAACTCTACTTTGTCAAAAAAAGACTAATAAAATCTCCAAAAACTGGTGCGCCTCTATGGTGTAGATCATTGATTCCCAAAGTGGTCTATATAGACCCCTAGGGGTCTATGACAACCTGCAAGGGGTTTACGTCAGCGAAAAAAAAATTGGGGGTCCATGAAATGAATATGGGGGTCCACGATAGTGGATCTCAACACATACACTGATAGTACCTATTTACTTACATCATACTATCTTATAATATCAAAACATATACATTATTTATAAAAGTACCTACGAAGTAAAAAATTGTGTAAGTTGTAGGATGTTGGTATTCGCTTTGTGGTCGCAATACATTTTGAACTTGTAAAAACCTGAGAGTCGCAGTCTCAGAGCTTCGCTACCTTGCACTGATTTGTTCAATTCGTTACTCTATAAATACGAATGTGGGACAAATACGTTTATTCGTTTCCTGAATCTTGAAAAGGAAAGTGCTAAGAAAATATTTTAAAAAATATAAACAGATAGTATGTCACACAAATTATAGTGAGTCAGTGTTATTTTGTTTGAAAGTTCTGAAGGAAAGTAAGTACATTATTTTTTATTAAATTTTAGTTTTGTACTCGTAGTTAGCAAAGATAGATAAATTAAGCCAGTCATGACTTTAGTTATTAGTAGTTAAATACTCAATCATGCAAAATTACACTAGTACCCGTCAATAGTTTCTTTTTGAAAGTTTTAGCAATCGGTAATATAATTACAGTGCAATCTCCGTAATTCGAGCTAACTGTTGCAAGATGTTCGAATTATGGAATGTTTTCGGAAAAATAAAATAATATTTTTAATATACAGCTGCTGGATTTTCTGTCTTATTTAAATAATTTAATTTTGCCCACAGATGACTGATGCCATGTCCGAATCTAAAAAGAAATGTAGACAGTACACTGTTGATTATTTGAAATTTGGCTTTATTCCATCATTGCCGGACAAACAATCGCCTATGTGCCTTTTATGCAACAAAGTTTTGGGCAATGACGCTATGAAACCATCTAAACTGCAAGATCATCTGAGAAGATGCCACCCTGATAAAACAGAGAAAGATTTGAAATACTTTCAAACACTCCAAGATAAATTTCAGAAGAGACCTACACTGGACAGAATGTTCGCTTCGACGTCACAAAGAAATGACGATGGTTTGCGGGCGTCTTACAATATCTCGCTACTTATAGCAAAATCCAGAAAACCGCTCCTATCGGAGACTAGTTAATTTTGCCAGCCGTTGAAGAGGTTTTAAAAACTGTTTTACACAAACCTGCATCTGATATTATTAAAAGAATTTCCTTAAGCAACAATACTGTTGAAAGACGTTTTGATGAAATGAGTTTTGATACTGAAAGCTTCTTATGTAATTATTTGCAAACGACCCATTTCTCTATACAACTGGACGAGTCAGCTTTACCTGATAAAGCAGCATTATTATTGGCATATGTTCGTTTTATTATGAATCAAGAAATCTACGAAGAACTGCTCTTCGCAAGAACTTTAATAACCGACACTAAAGGTGAATCAATATTTCATGTTTTGAAGGATTACTTCATTGAAAAAGCAACTCCTTTATCAAATATAATATCAGTAGCTACAGATGGAGCACCTGCCATGGTTGGACGTTATCGTGGACTTATAAGCTATTTAAAACAAAATGTATCAGGGGTGTTAGCAATACATTGCGTCATCCATCGACAACATTTAGTTGCTATTCAGATTTTGAATCTAGGTTTGAGGATATTTTGACTATGGTAATACTACCGTGGATAATTCATCCATATGGTGACATAGAAGAAACGAATGTCATAATACAAGAGGAACTGATTTAACTAAGTACAAACGAAGAACTTAAGGTTCAGTTTTAAAACGGATATCAGCAATTCTGGCTGCAAAACAACATACCCGTTACTTATCCCGTATTATGGAATATAGCGAGGAAATTTTTAATTCCCTTTCCATCGTCACACCTCTTAAATCATTAGATTTAGAAATAACTTTTTAAAAAAATTTATTTGAGGACTGAGGCTTCAGTCCATATAAAATACAAAGGTTTACAAATGTGACATTTACGGAGTCTAACCGGGTATTGAACATAAAGTTTACATAAGTGACTGTTACGGTGCCTAGCCGGGTAATGAACGACATGAAATGGGCGCAAGGCCTATTTATACTATTGGTGTGCTTACAAAGCACTTCTAGAAAATAAAGCGTAAACAACGTGTTAGCGAGAAGTCGTTATCTGTTGCTGAGCTAGCGTCTGGTGCAACATTGTATGGAATAGTAAGTCCATTGTTTTGAGTGCATATAACAACTTCCCCCTATTACAAAAAGTTGTTGCCATGCGACAACTTTTGATAAAATTAGAAAAGTGTAAAAGATGTAAAAATTCAAAAATGTAAAAATGTAGAAATGTAAATTGTAAACATTGTAAAATATAAAAATATAAAAGTAGGAGTAATAAAATTGCAAAATAACATCAGAAAATATAGATTCTGAGAAATAAAATTGTTAGCATAAATGCGGTACATTGGCGATGCTAAATAACATCTAAAAGCAAAGCTGGAACAAACAAATAATAAGATACAATCGTACAGTCGTACGGGCAAAATCACATGGTAGATAACACGAAAATTGGAAATGTCTTTTTGAACAGTGAAAACACTTCACGGAACACTCACTGCAGTTCGATGTCTTCTTCATGTGGCTGGATGGTTGGTCTACGTCGAGGAAAAAGTCTGCGAATGTACCGGACTTTTGGTGCTCCTGGAGATGGGCCATCGGCTGGATAATTTGATGCGCAGATGCTGAGTGGTCTTCGTTTTCTGCACTTGCAGAACAGGTACAAAGCTACGATGATAACTAACAGGGTGATGATAAAATACGTGAACCATGAGAGATGTCTCGAAACAAACGGCTCGTTCATAATTTTGTCCAGTTGTTCAGAATATTGGTTTAATTTGTGATTGGCAATTTCGAGTTCTTCAGTATCGATCTTGCTTAGCTTGATCGGTTTTAATTTTGGTAAGTTTTGTTTCTCTGGGAGATGTTCACAGCATTTGTAGGGTACTTCTACAGGGTGACTTTTGTATGTGATATTCTTGTAGGTGCTAACAGAATATCTAGAATGTAATCTCGTGGTGCCTACAAAGCCACTGCATTCGGGTTGCATTTTTAAAAGTGAATTAACTTTTATCACTTTGGTGGTAGTCTCTCGTTGTCCACACTTCATCGTAATTGGCAGAGGGCTAGATATGGTGATTAGCCAAAAATTGGTTGCAAGTTCTTGGATTTGGTAATCTTGCAATGCCACAATTGCTATTTGGCAGGCTGTCGGCAGATCGACCGGATTTCGCAACAACTGTGCTTCGCAGACTGCATTACTGTCTATTGGATACGGCAAGAGGTTGAAACAGATTTTCACCTGAGACTGAAGAACTTTACAACTACCTAAGTTTTGAAAGGAAACGTACAAAAGAGAATCGCTATCTTTAGCAATGTACCTCTGTATAGTGGAGACTACATGAAACAAACAAGTACGTTTATCGAGAATGGGTAGAGGAATCACTCTGTATAAAGTATACATTTCGGGCTCTAATAACGGGATGCGTAGAACGAATACTACTCTTGTTTTAGTTTGATACGCTTCGAGTTCCATAAGATTAAGGTACTCTGACAGTGTTGCCAAATTAACCGGAAGGGGTAAATTATTTCTCGACAAAGTGTGAGAAATTTCTTGAAGAGAATTTACTAAGTCTTGAGGAGTGATAATAGAAGGATGTATTATTTTTAAACGTGCAAAAGTAATTGAATTTAGAATATCATTAATTGTCTCTTCCAGAAACATGTAGCTTTCCATTAATTGTTCGCAAACTTCTAAAAATTGGAATTTAGCTTCATAAAATGCAAGATCGTCTGAAATTTCATAAATTTTGTTTTCAATGACTTTAATATCTTCATTAAACGTAGTTTCATCAATCATAAGTTTTTGAATACTGTTATTAAAATTCTTGATAACCGACATGGTAACAGAAATTTGGTTCTTCATGAGGTTTTCGAGCTCATGTTCATCTTTAGAAATTTTGTTAATACAATCGTTATAGTATTCACCGTCCGATGAATCGAGGTTGCCGGTTATTGCTTTCCATACAGTACCTATAGCGTTAATCAGACCGCGTTTCATCCGCGATGCGCTTACAGTGTCATCGAAGATTGCGTAATATTTTGATTCCAAGGAACGAGAAATTTGATAAAGGAGACTTGTATGAGTTTTAATTTCACCACTAAACATTTTCATACGATTGGTGGGTTTGTCTACGAGATATGATAAGTGTTCCAGAATATTGTTGTTATCGTCAAGTGCTTTCTTAATGAGTTCTAAGTCTTTATATACAAGGAGTGTCCAAATTTCGTTGGAAATCTTAAGAGGGGCGTCTTCATGAAAATAGATACCTAAGGTGTTGTTAAGCGGTTTGATGTCTATCTGGGCTGTGACAGCCGCAAGAAACAGCAGACTGCACCTGAAAGAGAAACTAAGTCTCAAAACATAGTTTCAGTCTGTCAAAATTAACTTTACTTATTCTATTTGTTTCCGGGTTCTTAAGGAGCGCAGAATTTTCAAAAACTTGAGTAATTTCGAATGGACCATCAGATTTGTTCTGAAGTTTGTTTGAAATTTGAGACTGTTTCACAAATACTTTATCGCCAATTTTATACGATTGTAAATTGGGTGACACTCTACTATCAAAGCGAATTTTTGCTTTTTGCTTCTGTTCGTCAGTTCTCACGCGGGCAATTTTGTAGTAATATTCGAGTTTATTCCGAATGTCTCGAACATACTTGGACATCAATTCTTTTTCTAAATATACGTGTTCGGGCGGACGACCAGAGGTGTGGCCAAACACGAGCTCGTATGGTGTAAAGCCAGTAGTTTTATTTCTAGTGCTATTGTAGCACTGAACAGCATAGGGAAGAATATTGAAGGGATGTTCGTCGGGATTAGGAGTTTTGGTGACGTTTTGGCAAACGACAAGTTTGATATTATCATCCAAAAAAATAAAAGAGAAAATTTCTAAAATGGGTAAGTCCAAATTATTTTTAACGTAGATTTGTTGGGATAGGTCGAATACACCTTTGTTGGTTAAAATTACAGAGAAAAGATGCTGTATGCAAGTTACGGGATCGTACGGCACAGGAATAATATAGTATTTCCTATCTTTAATTGTTTTGCTAGACGCGATGTTAATTTTATCTGCAGAAAAATCAAGATTTTCCTCGAATATGTCTTCGATAATTTTTTCGTGAAGATCAGATAGAGTGTTTTGTCTGAAAAACGTGACGATATGTTTATGACTTTTGTCTAGGAGTTGGGAATTTGAAAATTGGATTTTGGAATAATCGATCAGGGATGTGGTTTTGTAAAGGCGGGCAAAGATATCAAATTCACTTTCGGAAAATTGGGTAGAAGGTTCTCCTTCTTCGTCACTATGGGTAAGGGCGTTAACAGTTTTGGGTAATTTGATACGTGATAGGGCATCGGCATTTTTATTAGCCTTGCCTGGCTTGTACACTATTTCATAGTCGTACTCCTCTAGTTTGAGGCGCCATCTTGCTAATCTACTTCCGGTGTCTCGGCAAGAGAGAAGCCACGTAAGGGGTCTATGGTCTGTTACGAGTTTAAACTTCCGACCATACAAATAAGGTCTAAAATGTTTTACACTCCAGACAATAGCTAGAAGTTCTCTTTCAATGGTGGAATATCTCGTTTCTGCTTTACAAAGTGTACGAGATGCATAGGCTATCGGGAGATCTTTACCTATGGGACCTTGGGAAAGAACGCCAGATATCGCAAAAGCGCTTGCGTCTGTTGTAAGCACAAAAGGCTCTTCAAAGTTGGGGTAGATCAGTATAGGAGATGTTGTTAAAGCATTTTTTAAAGTATCAAATGACTTAACACACTCGCTATCAAAGTCAAATACTGCGTCTTTCTGTAATAGTCTGGTAAGGGGTTTCGCAATTTTGGCAAAGTTTGGTATAAAGCGTCGGTAGTAACCTGCAAGACCTAAGAAAGATTTTATTTCTTTAGGATTCTTGGGTTGAGGGAAATTTTTTATGCAATCCACTTTATCTGGATTGGGCTTAACGCCATCAGGAGTTATTACATGACCAAGATAGGCTACTTCCTTTCTGAGGAATTCGCACTTATCAGGCTGGATTTTGAAATTC